GGGAAAGATAAGCAGAGAACAACACCCCAGAATTATTCTTTTGTTGTCAGCTCTTCCAACCATAAGGGCTATACTTCTGTTTTGTTTTCGTGTAAAAAATAGTTTCTTGAATGTATATGAATCTTAGCAACAGGTTATTAAAACAAAAATCTAAGTTTATTTTTTATATTTTTTTTTTTGAGCCAGCTTGATGATGCAAACAAAGGATTCCAAAATCTAATTTGCACTCATGAGAAAGGTGGTAGTAGCATCTAAAAAGCTCATGTACAGAAATAAGTGTTTGGCCATTTAGGTAGTGTTCTCAAATAATTTTATTTTGGTACATATGCTATTAATATGTCTTCAGATGAAGTGGTTTTTAATAAATTCTTGTAATGGGAAGCTCATGTTATCACTGTCCCTTGAAATAATACACCTGAACCTCTATGATACAGAGAATTTCTAGTACTTTTTTAGTATTTCTCTTAAATAGCAGTGTAAGGTAGAGCTGGTAGCTTCCCAAGGGCATGCACAAATTTCCAAACTGTAATCTTTAAGTGAGATTGATATGCCTGAACACTGCAGTTACATGTACAGTTAGCATTTGTTTTTCCTCTAATGAAAAATTACTTAATTTTAATACAGATGGGAATGTTTTAGTGTGTGGTTTTGTACCTATAATACTCCATTGTTTAAATTTGGAAGACAGCTCATACTACACAGCATTTGTTCCATCATTTCAAATGTCTGAAGTGCACATGGGGCAAGCAGTAACCTTTTAGCAATGCTTAAGTATGTTTATTTCAAAAAAGAATGAAATTTCTAAGCATTTAAAGATAGTTATGGGGACTGACTTGTGACCTCTGAATTGGATTCATTCCCTTTGTATTTATTTTTATTGTCCATTAGTATTCTCAGACATATATTTAGAAAGCTACTGGTGTGTGAATGCATTGGATGAAATGTGAAAAATAGAACTTGAATATGTGAACATATGAGATTAAATGACACTTTTGCCAAGAAGGCATGTAATCCATGTTAGAGCTGCATTCCAGAATGAATTACAACTTTCTGCTTTCCTTGTTGCTGTCAATTGTTAATTTATTTCCACTTTAACAAACCTGTTGCATGGTATTATTAGCACCAAATAACATCATCATTTCAGCACAGGTGCTTTGATTTCCATGTGTGGTAAAATAATCACTGGTTGTATGTACTACTTTGAATAGTCCTGAAAGTGCTTTGGGATTTAGGCGGATAAAAGGCAGTGTATAATGTAAAGTTTAATAATATCCTCACCAGGGAATATTAATTGTTTTAAGTTACCCATGTTCTGTGAAACTGTATTGGTAGTAAATACGGAAAGGTAAAGTAGTGCTTTCAGAAATCAGGGAAGTGTCAGATTGTACCTATTCTGATACTTACATTTTCATAGCAATGGATTTTCAATTTTAACTGTCAAGTGTGCTTAAATACACCTGAAAAGCCCCTTTGCTTGTACCATATTAATCAGAAAAGAAACTAAAGATGTATTAGGGTCTCACTCATCTACCAGATATAAAGGCAGGAACCTCCTGTTCTTCAATTTACATAGCCTTCCATATAGCATGGTTCTGTTGGAACTAGTGGGGTTTATATTCATTAGGCAGACGTAGCCGCTGTTTCTCAACAAAGAATCTCTGCTCCTTTAGTCTTGCAGAAACTTACGATGTTCTCTGCTATAAATTAATAGTGTGAAAACCCCAGAGAAACAAACTGTGTTATATGGCTTTATTATCATTCTTGTAGGATACAATGGCTCTTTGCTTTTCATCTGAACTGTGAAATGACTGAAGCTTTCAGAACTTCTTCCTATGGGTATCCATCTGATTGTAGCTTGAGATTGGAGAAAAGAAATTTGATACCAGCTTTGGATGCTAACCCTGCTTTTCTCTTTTACCTTGCCCTTCTTTAAAAATCTCAAAAAGGGGATGGGGGGGGGGGGGGGGTTGAAAGGGAGGGAAAAGAAATCTTTAAAATGAAATTTTGTATGTTTTCACTGAGACATTCTCTGGAAAAAAAAAAAAAGCGGGGAGAGCATTTAGAATCAGTGTTTCTTCATTTATTCCTTGGTTAGTTATTTATTCACTCACACAGGAAAATCATGTTCTTCTGATGTCTAAATATTTTGATTCAAAGGAGAAAAGATTCCACTAGAACTGTATAAACTGTCAAGTGGAGATGGTTTGCAATATGGGCTGAATGGCTGCATTTATCACCTGTGAAATCTTTTTGTCCCAGCTGTCCTGAACTCTTCTGCATTTTCTCTGTCTGACTGTATTTGGCAGCTATAATCAACAACAGCTTCTGTTAGTTGAATGGTGATTTTCAAACAGTATTTCATATGTTTTTTCTCCCATTTAAGAAACTTTTTCCTTCTTAGGTCCTCAATTATTAAGAATCAATTTAGACCAGTAGCATCCTGTTTCTGGCTATTCTTAGTGAAAACAATGTTTATAATAGCAGCTGCAAAAAATAAAGGATTCAAGAAATACATACATTCTTGTATAGGGAAGAACTCCTACAGTGTTTTCTTGGTTTAAGGTAGATAATTATATTAAGATGGATAACTTAGGCTACAGCAAGTTTTTTACCTTTCATGACCTTGACAGAAACATCCGACTTGGATGTTTCTTGCAAAATGGCTGTGCTGCAGGTCTCATTTAAGCAGAAACCACCTTCTTGCAAGTGTTATATGAATAGATATAATGGTTTAAGTCACAAAGCTTCTGTACATTTTTCTTTCAATTTCAGCAAACGCAGGTGTGTTCTGATCCTGAAGAAAAAGTAGACTGTGTGGCTTGAAATACCTCTTTCCATATTTTCCAAGATCCAACAAAACACTGATGCTTTACCAGATCATGATCTTGACAGAAATGTTATTGCAGTCCTCTTTTACCATGCCACAAATGGGCAGCAACAGATGACTTGGTATTAATTCCTTTGTAGTGTTCATGTGATATCACAAAGCATCTGAAGTCTGCTTATGTGGTTTATGATGTCACAGAATTCCTGGAAAAAATTATTTCTTTGTAAGTAACTGCAGCTCATCAGTTGTTCTATATATAACTTTCACAACAGCAACCATCTGCTGAGAGCCAGGCCACTCCTCTCCTTCTTTATTTCCTTCAGCACATCAAATTAGTGTGAGGATGATTTCATATACATATGGTTTGAATACTGCTAACAAGGCCAAAATGCATTCTGAAAGCCACTAGAGGAACCTTGTAGTAGGCTCTGAGACACTGTCCAGAAAATTTCGTTTGTTTTCAGTTTTCAAATTTTCTGTACAGCTGAACGGTGATACTCAGAAGTTGCCTATGTAAGATAGCAAACATCAAAACCAAACAGGCTTATTTTTGGGCTGAAGATGCCCAAGACAACAAGTTATTTCTGTTACTATGTGGTTTGCATCTACTTGTGTGGTAAAAGTAGAAAAGTGTGTGGGATAATGACTGCAGTTAACATTTCATGATCACATCCCATTTAACAGTTTAAATTTTTATTACTTTATGCTTCCTGCAAGAGTTCTAATAGAGCTTTCTAGATACTGGAGCTGCAAAGTGGAGGTAGAATCATATTGTAAAAAGGAGTATTGGTGTATTAATTAAAGCATGGTTCTACTCTGAAGAAGGTCTTTATAAAAATAGCAGTTTGGGTTTCTAGCCAGTAACTTCCAAATCAGCTTCACTCATTAAGAAGTTGTGGGGAGAAAAGCAATGGACCAGTCCAGCAAACTCTGCTTAGAACATAACAAAACAAATTGTGGCTAGTGGATTGCTATAGCCAGTAAAGACCTAATAGGCCAAATACTGCCCTGAGCTTTTGGAACTCGAAGTCCTGACATTATTTTTTTTATACTTTAATATTTTTTTTACTTCTGTTGAGGTTAAGCAGGTGTGACTAAAACCACATTTTGACATACATGCGGGTTTGCTGGATAGTGAAACTTAGAGAATTTTTTGGGTTTTTTTTTTCTGTTTGCATTCTTAAGTTTGCTTAAGAATGCTTTTTCTGAAGAATGATGGTTTTTTTTCTGCTTCTTTCATAGCAACCTTTACTTTGTGCTTCCATAGCTAGACCTGTATTGATACTCAATCTGGCTTAGACTTGTCTGCAGTATTGTGTGACCGATGCTAGGACGGTAGTGCAAAATGTCTTCAAATATCAATTCTGTTGAGGAGAATGTCCTGAAATATTAATTCTGTTGCAGATGTTGATCTGGAAAAATAAAATATCCAGTTCTGCTGCATAGAACTGCAACTAGTAAAATTAAAGCTCTCCTAGTAAAATAAGTGAAGCTGGCTCTGATTATTCATGGAATCACAATTGCTGAATAAAGTACATTTTAACAGCATATAACTTTTTCTTAGTATAACTGCATTTTAAATCTGTTTGGGACTATTTTCTTGCTTAACACTTTTCCCTGAGCCTGTTTATTTTCATTTCCATGCTACAACTCACTGTCCCTTCATTTGCTCAGCGTAGCCTCTGAAGGCAGCATAGTACATGACTGCACTCTGATGCTTGTTTCACAGGACTGTGAAATGATCCTCAGAAAACAGACAGTTAAGCAGAGCCAGTGGCTTGCCTATATTATTGCAAAATTCCTCATCTGTATAAACTAATGATCAAAGCTCTTCTCCCTCTCCCTCTGCGCTTGGCTTTATTAGGTAAAGTAGCCCAAAATAAAATAGTGCTAAGGCTGTAATTTCATTACAGAATTTTCACCAACTACGAACATTTGCTGTTCCTGCACACCAGCTACTTGTTCACACGCTGTATGCTGCCATTTTCAATTATATAGCAGAGCTGCTTTCTACAGCTGTGCTGTGACGGAATTGGGAAACTGATCCAGGTTAAATATCCATAGTTTGCAGAATTATTTTTTTTTTTTTTTTTTTTTTTTGCATATTGAGCTGGATGAGTTCCCAAAAACAGTCCAGTTGAGCTGTCACTAGTAAGGTTGCAAAAAAAATATTGGGAAATGGAAGGGGAGACGGTTCAACCAAGAGGTATAGCTGTTAATATTATTTCTGGTGAAGGATTATTCAGCTTGCTGTTAATCAAGTGTTTCTGTTAAGACCTGTCCTTTCTGGACGTACTACCTGTTAGAGTATCTTGGAACAAGGATAGTTGCTTGACTGCTTGCAGTACCATTTGTCCAGATCAAAGTTATCAAAGTATTTGGCCAGAATGTGAGTGCCAGGTAAACCCTTTTGAGTTCTTGCATATTTATTATAGATACGATAGCTAAAAAATTGTATGGGTGACTTCAGTTGCCACATTATTGAGCTATACAAAACTAAAATTATTTATTAAATAAACATTAAGGGCTGTTCCTTTCTTTTCATTTTAGACTCCAATGAATCAAGCATCATCCCGATCTCACTGCATTTTCACTGTTCACATCTCTAGCAAGGAACCTGGATCTGCAACTGTTCGACGCTCCAAGTTACACTTAGTAGACCTTGCTGGATCAGAGCGTGTTGCAAAGACTGGAGTTGGAGGTCGCTTATTGACAGAAGCCAAATATATCAACCTTTCATTACATTATTTGGAACAGGTAAAATTGGAACAGTGATGCAATTTCTCCCTTTACAACATTCCTGTTTAGCAATGTGCAGTGTTTAGGAAATCTTGATTCTAATGTTCAGTTAGGATATTTATTGCATTTTTAAAAAATGATTGAGTTGATAGCTCTTAATTTGAAATAACATTTTAATTTAATCAAAGCTTAACAATTAACCAGTAAGGTTATGGTAGGTATACAGGGTAGTATTTTTAAAAGGTTTCTTATTTTATTTGCAATGTTAAAGATATTTACAGTTATATTTATACTAATAATGTTCTCTGTGATCTTCTTTCCCTTCCACAGCTGGGATCAGAATGTATCACTCAAAAATCATTGAACTAAAGTGACTAGGGTTTGGGTTTTTTTGCTTGAAGCACTGTAATATGGTAAAATATTAGGCTCTTCTCTCTAGTGTTTTATTCCTCTACCGATGTGAATCTTCATTATCTTCCAGACAGGAGTTACCTCTGTTAATGTATTTATGGGCTAAGTACTGCAATTGGTTTTGTACCAATAGGACTCTCAGGTGCAACTGCAATAATAATAATAAATCTCCACAAATCTTTATCATTCAGCTGTTGTTAATGAGAAAGATTTATGATTTAAGGCGAGAATGATTTAAGGCATACTAAAATTCCTATCTTCCTTTCACTGTTGTTTTTTATTTTTACTCTTTTTAAAAGGCAAATATTGAGAAAGTAGATTAATCCTGACTAATCTTACTAATTTTTATTTTTTTTTAAAAAAGCAAAGAATATGTTAAGGTGGTGGTGGTCGTTAATGGAAACTGAAGATGAAGTATTGGAGTAGAAAGGTTTGGTCAACAGATTATCATTATTATAAACAATAATAATTTTATTATTGTAATTATTACTGTTGTTATTATTAGTATTATTATCATCATCATTATTGGAGTTTAATTATTTTTCCTTCACTGATCTAATTTTCCCTTCATTAATAGAAATTATGTTGCATCTTATGATCCTTGTAATTTTTGTGAATGTGACAAGTGTGATGGTGAAGGCTGTTCACACTCTCCTTCTTTTCTAGTACTCATCTCTTCTTCACAGCACACTGATAGGTGTGGTTTGTATACCATAGCATTCCTTCTTCTGAGATATTTCTTTTTGGCTTAGTATTTGTGGCATTGCTAAAAGACGTGGCGATTTATAAAAGCTTAGTGCACATTCCATTTATGTCTTCCTGATCTGCTGTGATCTTTTGTATTCTAATGCTGTAAAACACCAAGTCAGGTGAAGAAACACATGACAATCAATGAAATCTCTGTTGTGGATGCTGTGCTATTAAGTTGCAATCACTGAAGATTTTCAAATGTGGATTTCAGACATTACACCTTCTACGACAGTTTACATAATGTTGTTTCCACAGTACAGTAAACACTGTTCCTGTTGCCAGAAATTCATGTTTTGAATTCTGATGGAGAATACAGTATCTTTTCTTAAGGCTTCTTTAAAAATTTCTATATACAACACTAGCAGGTCTGTGAGCCTGTCATTTTGTGGGAGAAATAAGGGAGTGAGAGGGAGAAGAAAAAGTGCTTGACACTAAAATTCAGATTTGTCCCTTTTAATTTATACTCCAGTATGTGTGTGATTTACACAAGAGGGTGCCTATATGTCAAAATTCTTTAAAATTACAGTTAAGAACTAGAACTGGTTGTTCCACTTACTGCAAAGAATCTTTTTCATTTTTGTGTTATGTTTTTTTCTGTTAACAAAAACAAATCCCTTAGATTTCATTTAATCTACAATCAGAGATATTTCGTCTGCCAGAATAAGCAGCTTAAGGCACAGCAGGTGGCAGTCAGTCATTTACTATTACACTGAATTTTTTTCATATCCCCCCCTCCCCCCTTTCTTCAGATTTTTATCTTGCAGAAGAAAGTCTGTTTTTATTTCAGTTGTACTTTTGGGAAGTGAAAAGGATAAGCAATTATAAAACAGATCTCTTAGGGATCATGCAAATTGTACTCAGTATGCTTCTTACTTACCATGTGATTTTTATGTATTTATAATGCAACACTGCATAGATATTTAATATCTATGTAGTGTGTTTTGAGATACTCACGTTTCAAGTGCTGTAGAAGTGTAAAATATTAATGTTTTGTCATGCAGCTTTTAACTCCTATTTTATGATACATGCAGTTGGACATAAGGACGTTTGGTTCTGTCTGGGATTGCATGTTAATAAAAACATTTTCCAATATTGAATAGAAGTCTACTGATGACAGTAAAAAATCTTTTTTGTTCAGTGGGAATTTGGCCATTGGTTACTGACCTTGCAGTAACCAATATTAAAGTACAAGGATTCCCAAAAATCAACTTATTTACATGCTCTAGTAGTTAGTTATCTACTGGTGGTTTAGCATTGAGTTACGCCATTTCTAAACACTTTGCATAATGAATTAGTCATGTAAAATAATTTCTATCAAGATGTCCTGGGTTCAGCTACAGCAGTCATTTTTTTTTCTCCTTCTTAGTAGCTGGTGCAGTGCTGTGTTTTTGACTTTCAGTCTGGGAACAATGCTGATAACACCGATGTTTTTAGTTGTTGCTCAGTAACGTTTACTCTGACCAAGGACTTTCTCAGTCTCATGCTCTGCCAGGGAGGAGGGGAAGCCAGGAGGAAGCAGAGGCAGGACACCTGACCCAAACTGGCCAAAGGGCTATTCCATACCACAGCACGTCATGCCCAGTATATAAACTGGGGGGAGTTACCCGGAAGGCCCAGATCGCTGCTCGGGTCGGGCTGGGTATCCGTTGGCGGGTGGTGAGCGGTTGTGTCCTTTTCCCTTGTTATTCCTCTTATCATTATTATTGGTAGCAGTAGTGGTTTGTATTATACCTTAGTTACTGGAGAGCTGTTATCTCAACCCGTGGGAGTTACATTCCTCCGATTCTCCTTCCCATCCCTCCGGGAGCGGGGGGAGGAAGGAAAAGGGGGGGGAGGGAGCGAGCGGCTGCGGGGGTCCAAGTTGCCGGCTGGGCTTAAACCACGACACAAGATGACAATGGAAGCACAGTTTTGTGTTATCACACTTGGTCTACTTGTTAAAAATCCATAATGTGTTAAAAAAACTTGTATATGGAGCTATCAGCTACGTGTATATCTTGTATATATCATCTATGTAGATGTACCTGATAGGCCTGTACCTACAAGTGATGCACCCCAAATCCCTCTCTTTCAGAACTTTCCTTTTTTCTATTACAAGTTCCATGGCTGGATTGTGAAGATTGATTTAGTGATTTAGGTGAGGTTTTATTAAACCCATCATCTTGTGAGTTGCATTATCTCTCATATGACAGTTCAGTGGCTTCTGCATTATGAGAGCTGGTCACTTCGGTGCCAGTGTGGGTGGGTTAAAATTCTTCCTGGGCTACAAGCTTCCGGTGTGAACTTCAGAAAAAATGAACTTCTCTGTAACACAGTTCCCATTTTTAATGGAAATAACGTATCTTCCCTCTGGCTCTTTTCCCATCATGTCTATTCAGTAGTTTCTGTGTGGCAGAGACTGAGAACATGCTTATTAATGCTAGATTATGAGGTTTCTATGCAGTATTATAAACTAACAGTGATATATTTCCGTCTAGCAAGTTGTAATAAAAAAGAGTTGAAAGCCTTGATACAAGAATGGGTTTCAAGATTCCTTTAAAAGATAGTTATTTTCATATTATGTATTTGTCCCTCTTAGAGCTGCCAGTGTAAGATTTATAGTAGTAAGACGTTTTGACTTTCGAAGACCATTAAGAAAAACTAGTGCCAAAAAAAAAAAAACAAACCTACTAATTTTTCTAAAATAACAAGTTTCTTAAGTGCAGCATAAAAAATATACATGCTGGTATGTAACATTTATAAAAGGAAAAACAATTCCTAATCATTTAGGATAGCTTGCACAAGTCATATAGCTACAGTTTTTTGGTACAGTTCTTGGCCAGATAACAGTTCAAATATTTGTATCACAACAGATCATGGGGTAATCTAGCTTTTTATTTAATGATAATTAGGTCCCATAAAGTAAACAGCTGGGAAGGGAAACTGAGAATAGTAGGTGTACCATTTCCTTTTTGGCCAAGGCATATATATTCTAAACTGAATTATTTCTTTCCAGCAGTACATTGTAATCATGCACCCTTTTATTTGTGTTTTAGTTTTCAAGACATTTTCTCAGAAATAAATGTATTGACCCCTCTAAGAACCATATGCTGTAAGAACGTGTAATATTAAAAGCATACTTTAGCAAATGTTAATGAAATTTTTACTTGAATGCTATTCATACTTTATTATTATGACAGAAAAATATGAGGAATATTTTCAGTAAGTTCCTGTGTCTTAGGAAAGTCTGTGGGTTTTCGTTTATAGTGTTCAGCTTCCTTGTTGCTGGGAGGCTGTAAAGCTAGGGTATGATAAAATTGCATTTATTTGGTCTTTCAGGTCCAGATCCTACAAAGACATATAACCATGCTGAAATTTAAGTTGAAGTTATTTCCATAAAATTAGTTTGCAGCTGACTGAGTGTATAATCATAGTTCTGTTGTATCAGATGTTTGGGTTCCTGAGCAGATTTTTTTGTTCTTTTTACATATCAATCCTTAATAGACATGTAAATTTAAAAGTCTTTTCCATATTTTTTTTACTATTTCAGGTAATAATTGCCCTTGCAGAGAAAAACCGGTCCCACATTCCTTATCGAAACTCTATGATGACATCAGTGCTAAGAGACAGTCTGGGAGGAAACTGCATGACTACCATGATAGCAACGCTTTCTATAGACAAAGGAAACATAGATGTATGTTATTTCTGTCTATTTTCAACAAAAATGCTTTCACTTCTCTAAAGATCCTGCTATTCTGACTTTTATTACAGTTTGTAATTCAAGTGTGTATGCTTTCTTTTTTATCCTTACAGAAAAACATTTTAAATTTGTTTCCAGGAGATCAGTGGAAATTGCAATAAAATGTAGATAAACCCTTTAACCCTTTAAGAAATGCGCTTTTCTCTAAGTAATCTCAAGTTAAGTAGCAGTTGGGAAACAAATTGCACTTAATAATGAACTTTTTTTAATTTACTCTTCCTGGTGAATAAATCTTTGAGGACATAATGGTAATATCTATAAATGTTTACTTCTTTGGAGTCATGGTTTCACTGAGTATGGCAGAAAACTGAAGAGTTTGTTGATGGGGGAGGGGGAATTGGGTGGGGTGATTTGGAATTTTTTGAAATATTTCTAAGACTTTTATCTCCCTTCTTCAATTTCCTGTGCTGAAAGAATATATCGTGATGTTTTCTTCTCTTTGTTTACCAAAAGAGTTGTAGCATTTGTCAAAGTGCTATAGTGAACAGGGACTCATCTGGCTGGTGACAAGCTGTGTTCCTCAGGGTTCCATTCTCGGGCCAGCTCTGTTCACTGTATTTATGAATGATCTGCATGTAGGAGTTGAGTGCACCACTGGCAAGTTTGCTGATGATACCAAACTGGGAGGTGCTATTGACTCCTGAAGGACAGGAGGCCTTGCAAGAGGGATCTAGATGGATTGTAACACAAATACAAATTGTGAGAGGAGTGGCTGGAGGGCAACCCTGCGAAAAGAGGTTACTGGGGAGTCATTTGAGAAACAGTTGATCAGGGGATTGACTGGGACAATAAAAGATGTACTATAATTTGATATTTTTATATGTCACTGTCATTAATATGCTAAGCTAATTTCCCTTGAATATTGTTGCCTTTGAATATGAAATAATAGATTATTCCAGTAAATATACAAAACCCAGAAGTGTAGTTTGATGACTTCATTAGCAGTCTGTTCTACTTACCTCAGGGTGCAAAGGTAGCTGAAATTTTTCTTCAGTCTTTTTGTTTGTCTGTTTTCCTTCCAGGAATCTATATCAACCTGCAGATTTGCACAGCGAGTTGCTCTTATCAAGAATGAAGCGGTTCTTAATGAAGAAATTGACCCCAGTTTGGTGAGAGTTGTCTGGGGGCAGAGGGAAGAGGATTGCTTGGTTTAAGTTTTAATGATCAATAGCAGTTGATTGGATGTTGAGCATTTTTTACTGAATCATCCTATTAAATTGTTTTTGGATGCAAGTTCCATTTTTTTCCCTGTAAAAAAACCCACTATTTTCCTTTTTCTTTTTTTTTTCCTTTTTTTTTCCTGAATGTACTTATAATATAATTAAATGGACATTTAGAAAACCTCTAACTCTTTTTCAGCTCTTAAGGCATCTGAGGAGCAATGGTCACTTCCATTATTGTCTTTGTGTTGCTTCTTTTAGGTTGTTAGTTTCTAAACCCTAGCCACAGATAAATGGATGTCCCTAAAACTCTACTAAGATTGCTTGTCACCAGATGAAGGCATGCTGCTGCACTGAAACAGTTTCTGTATTAAAATGCTAAGAAACAGTTACAGTCCTTCCTTTGGATTGGTCCGAGGAACCAATTCATTTCTGCCTGTCCTTTTTCCTATGTAGGCTTTATTGTAGCAAATTGTGCAAAACATTTCTTCCATGGCCATAGAAGCCTTTGATCGAGGCTGGAACACATGCAGGCTCCTACATTACTACGTTTACTACATCCTGTGGAGCTATACTCCATGAGTTTGGTATGTCTTGCTCTGCAGGATCATTTAGCAAGCACAAGTGGACTCGTGAGAGTTAGAAAACCATCCCCTCTTGTGGAAAAGGCAGGGGAACACAAGTACCTAGACTTTATATGGCTCTGTGCTCATTGAGGTATTTGTTGCCCATCTTAACTACCTAAAGTATATTTCCAGGGTGCGACTTGATTATTTGAAGAATTCAACTAGAATTTTTTTCATAAAATCAAATGCCATTTATTTGCAGTATTTATCATCTGTAAATTGAATGCATGCTTTATAAAGGAAGTGCATAATACCTCTTGACAGATCTAAGTCTGACTTCTGTAAATTATATTCTTCATAATGGAGACTTCCTGGCTGTGTATCTTACTAAGAAGATGAGCTTGTACCCATTGTACTTTTTAAGCAACTCAGCTTATGATCAAAGCATTTGTTTTAAAATTAAAACCAAATGGCTGAACTTGAATTAATTCTAATCTCCTCTGGCATTCAATATTGTGCTTCTGTAGATTTTTTATTTGTCTTAATAATAGTTGAAAATCAATCTTTTATCCATGTACTGAAAATTGTATTTCTGTTGTTGCCTTAATGATGTTAACCATCCTAACAATTTCAACATTGAACAGGGATGGTACTGTCAGTTCAGCTTTTTCCATTTTATACTCCAACCCCAAATTTTGTTTTATTGACTCAGTAACTGGCACTGACTACATCAGAGTGTGCCACCAAAGTGAGGCAACCTAAAATCAGGTTGAAATATTTGACCTGCAATATTCTTGAACCACTCTTGCAACATCTGTAATTAACAATTCACCACCTTAATAGATTCTTATATAAAATATTGTAAGTTTGCTTTTCATATTTATACTAATAAATGTGTAACCAGCAAGTTTAGAGTGAAAAGAAATAATCAAATGTAAGTTTAGAATATTTTGAATTTTAAAGTAAAAATACTCATTTTAAGTTAGGAACTCTTGGTTAAATTTAATCATTAAAAGAGATACAAATGTTTGAAGGAATTTTAACATCCAGTGAAAATGTGTCATCAGTTTCAACAATCTTACTTCTAGAAAGTGCATGCAATCAAGAATAATTTATTTTTCCTTGAAGACATTCTTTTCTTGAAAACATTTTGAACATTGAATCAGTGTATTCGTATCCATCTAAAAATATCATTAAACTCCTGATACATTTGAGCCATTATAAGGTGATGCATTATTAAAATTTTTAATCATAATGTATCCATGAACTTGCTCATTCGTGTTTTAAACTTGGGGATTTGCATATTTTCCCTGCTTTGTAGAATTTGGCCTTGGGAAGCTAATGATTCATAAAATGCCATTTTATACAGACACTTTTCCCAAAGGTACAGGCTCTGATAATGAGCTATTAGAATTTAAAAATGAAGTACAGTTCTCCAAGTGACTATTGCAATCATTACTATTCATTAATGCAATTTACTGTTAACTTATTTATTTGTCATTGTCAACTGATACATCCTATAATTATAGTATGCTATAATTTTAATAAGAGTTAAATGTTACAAGCAAGAGAAGAAAAGTTAAGATTAAAGTACTAAGATATTGTTTTGGAATATATGTTTTGGCATGTATTTGTCCTTTCTCTAACAAAGACATCACTTCTATTTCAAATGTGTTTTGATTACTAACAAACAGGCAAAACTAATAGTCAGAAAGTCATTTTTATTTCTACGGCAAATTATTTTTCTCTTTTGCAAATAATCTTTTGAATTCCTATACAGCCATGTCTTCTAACACATAGAATTTACAGAGTTTGGAACACTTCTCTTGTTTTTATAAATGGAAAAAAAGAGCTTTGTATATTTAAGGCATTTGGACTGTTTTTTAAAAAAGAGATGTTTAGAAAAAGAGAAAACCAAAATATAGTATTTCTTTCACTCAGCCTTATAATGTGTAAATCATAAACTTGCTATTAATCTGTAGGTGATGCTTGGTTTCTGCCTTGCTGTTTGTAGATGATTGTCCAGCTGAAAAAGGAGATCCAGGAGCTGAAGGATGAGCTGGCACTGGTGACTGGCAAGCAAAGGACATCAGAGCTTTCACAAGAAGAGCTCCTTCAGTAATGCTTACATTGTTTTCATTTTCTTCTTTTGTGGTGATATTTTTCATCAATTTCTTTGGTGGCTTAAATATTTAAATTAATCTCAGAGTTTTAAACTTCTCTGAGTGAGAATAATAACATGAAGTTAGGTGCCAGGTTAAGATGGCGATTTTCCATGAAAAGCTCAATGAGGCTGCTGGCTGTGTTTTTGCAGCCTCAGCTTTGAGGAAGTGAAGTAAAGTAAATGCAAAGGATGGGAATGCCTGTCAGATGCCAGGCAAAAGGAAGTGTATAATAGTGCGCAATGAAAAAACAGTCTCTCTCAGAACTGGATAGATGATCAGAGTAAAAGTCAAGAAATATTCTTTGTGCTGAAAAGGATCCTGCTGCAGTGTTAGTTTGATGTAGGCCAAGAGAAACCTTGCATTTCTGATACAAAATTAATCAATGTCTTAAAAGCCAAATGTTAGGGGTTTGTTTACTGAGCATGCTATTGAAAATGCATGATTAATTCACATAATTATTGTCATGTCTTAGAGCTTTTTGTGACAGATCAATACAATAAGTAAGAACTTTCTATAGAATCTAGAAACGTTTACTTAGGTCTAAATGTTCACAATAATGAATTCAATACCCAGTTTTGAAAATTTAATTGATTCTGAAGGATGGACCTGTTTAATATCTCTGCCTCATCTGTATAAAGAAAGTAGAAACTGTCTAGAAACTTCGTTTGTTTAGTATATTAATGGTAACTAAGTTGAAGCTCTGAGAGTTTTTAGTCTTAATTTGATTTCTCTTGGAACTCATCCAGAAGAAAACTAAAAATGCTAATAATTTCCCCTGACATCCAGCAGATTCTGGAGACATGAGGACAAGCTTCAACCTTGAAACTCGACTTTCTCATGTAGATTGTTGTCATTAATTCTTGGCTTTGATTGTTTAGTTTTAACTCAGAAACTAAAGACATCTCTATCAAGGATGGGGAGCTAGATAGCATTATGTATGTATTTCATTTGCACTGTTAATCTGGGTCATTTTCAGCGTAGGCAGTTACCAGTATAATCTTCTAAAAAGAAATGTCCCCTCAGTTCCTACTGGGTTAATATTTATTTATCATTCTGCAGCAAGAACATTACAGGGTAGCACTCAATGTGACAAAATCAAGCCATAGAAAGAAAATTTAAGAAAGAACAAGAATAGAGAGCTATCTTGCTTTTATATATTTATTTTATGTGTAAAAATTAAATGCCCTGATTAGATGGTTTCTTTTTACCCTGACACAACTAGTCTTTAAGAAGAGGAATGACTCTCAATGACTATTCAGATATACTTAAATAATATATATATATTCATTTAAAGATGCACTTTGCTAACATTAGTATAAAAATCTGTCACAGGAATCTTGTCGTCTTGTTTATTGTTTAATTTCTATATGTAAACTGGGATTTTAGAAATAATTTGGCTTTTTAGGCCTCACTCATGAATCTTACTTGCTATGATTTCTATCTGCCATGAAAATAGCAGTCTCGAAAATGCAAATGGGTTCACAGTTGAGAAAAGTGTTTAATATGAACGTGCAAAGAAAAACTAGGAATGCACCATATGTATAGAGTTGCACTATAGCATACATCAGGGAGGCCTTGTTCCAGAACTATGTGACTAAAAAGTGTGTCAGTTGGTTTTCCATTTTATCTATATAGCACAATATATACTGCATTACATTATCTGAGAAGGTTTATTCTGAGATCATGGCAAGGAATTTTGCATCCCATTCCTTCAGAAAATAGCAGGCAAGAAACTGTCCTGGGTTCAGCTGCAGCAGTCATT